ACAATTACCATGGTTATCTAGCATAATCTGAATACAGCATGATATGTCAGAGTGAAAGAAAACACTGTATACATTGTACATTCGGTAAATTTGTTTTTCAAATGGCTGTACATGTAGTTGTGAAAACCCCACAATTTGCAGCAATCTTATTATCAACCGACAAAACCTCAACTATTTCACAAGCCTAATAGGTACAGGTTGTGCTGTAAACATGATTTATCTGGTATAGTAACACATTTAATTTACAATGAACTGTGTATCTCACCTAAACAATCTGGTTCTTTGTGGTATACCGTTCCTTCACAAAATCCTAAAGCATTACATGTTGCCAGCAACTCACAATTCATCATGTCAGGCATCTTTACTCACTGAGGATTGGAAAATACAATGACATATTGCATAAAAATATTCAACTGAGAGCAGTCCACCCAAGGTACATATAAACAAACAAAGTATCAAAGCAAGTGGATTTGTCGTTTTGAAAAATGTTCCTTAGGACTCCCTCGCCCATAAATTAAATCCTAACCCTGCCCCTCCCGTACCCTCCTCCATTTCAATTATATATTCCCCTTTGGGTAACTTATAATTATTTGGCACATTGATACATTGGGGGATGGAGTCTTAGAGTTAGGATTCAAGTTTGGGTGAGGGGGCCTTAAGGAACTCTTTCCTATCACTGTTCATGCATATGAAGTTTCAGTCCCTCAGAGGACTGTGCCTTATATTTCATAGAGCCACAGTGATGAGGAGGAACTGTGATGGAGCGCACAAACATGATCAGATCTAAATTATATTCCGATTCCGATTCCAAACAACAATGTTATGTCCCAGTCGGTGTGAATGTTGTTTTTAGTATCGTAAATAAGTCCATCAACTTACCTATGGTTGGCGCTGGACGTCTGAGATACGAAGCCAAACAGGTACGAACGTAAATACAAAAATGTATTTGCCGCCACCTTGTGAACTTTCAACTTTCAGTGATCTAAAACGAGTCTACTCTAGCCTCGTCCGCGTCGAATTTGAAACTTGAATAAACGAGGGAGAGTTTTATCAAATAAATAAATAAAATATATATGCATCGAGTATTTTACATCTAGTAATAAGAGTATGCTTTATTTAGTGAATTGAATAGCCGGCAATAACTTTAATTCAATTTGAAGGGACGTTTGTGTCAAGTTATTTGCTCCATATTGATACGAATTAGATACAGTGTGCTGTATTTGATAGTTTTGCGTAGTTACGGTCCATTACAATACAGTGACGTTCGTCTTGACTAAAGAACAGTACAATTGAACATGACAAAGCTGTATTTTAGTGTCGTATACCATAAAATTTTTGCCAAATTCCTGGCTTGCCTCAGTGGCCAAGTGGCTAAGGCGTCGGTCTCGTAAACCGAAGATCGTGGGTTCGACTCCCATCTGAGGCTGCAGTCATTTACAAGATCATAGTTACCGTTTTCTTATTCCCATAGTTTGAAAAGATCAATTTTACTAAATATGAGTGTTTTACTATCCTTATAGAATAGGATACCTCATTTCTAACGAGCAAAGAAAATAAACTGCTAACAAATTATTAAGAATAACAAGACAAATAGATAAAAAAAAAAAGTAATCTCCATTGTTGAAATGAAAATGATTTGGGAATAAGAAATAAGAATATATTCACGTGTGATTATTGTTGAATAATCCGATGTTATTCATAAATTACACTTTTGTGTAAAATGACATATATTGAATATACGTTCCCATTGTTCTCTGTGAAAATAAAAAAACATAGGGTAATATCGCTATTTCGCTTTTATAATCTGTAGTTGTTTAATGCTGAGACTACGTTCGAAAATATTAAAATGTTTATATTGTGTGTGTATCTGACAGCATATTGTTGGGACATTTAGGCGAGTTTTCTGACAACCTACTAGGATTACCCATTTACGCGCAGTTATTTAGGATTTCGATACCTCTGATGTCTTTGTGATCGGTGTCTGGAACGCAATTTAGTCAACGAATTTTGTCAATTCTGTGACAACACGGGACATCTAATTTCTGATATTGAGTTAATTGGTAAAACTAGTAGTATATGCAATAAGTGACGATGCATTTGATGTTTCGTATGTTCTCAGGCGCGGATACCGAATTTCTGGATGGATCCGTCAGTGGTTCTAGGAGTTGCTCGCCTGTACCAGACTGGAAGGATGTTGCTAAAGACACACACTCGTGAGGTTACTGTATTATTGAATGGCGTAATTCGGGAAAGCTGCGTTAACTAGTTTATCAGAAAAAGCGTGCATTTCAGAGCCCAATTTAAACTTGTACTTCGGAATTATAGAAAGTACAAAGCTCGGACATTCTTGCCAAATTGTTATTATAAAAAGAACCCGGAAAAAGATATCCGTATCAACTTCGTTATCGTCCACTGTTTCTAGTAGTTGGGAAATTTCTAATTTGTGGGTTAATCATTTTACCGATTTTGAAGTTATTTTAAGCCACAATAACAAAATGGGCATTATGACTCCAGTAACGACACTCCACGTATTTCTGCAGCAGACGGAAGTATCGAATATGGTATGTAACTTAAATCCTAAGAGGTCTTGTGGTGCGGACACTCTAAGTCTTGAAAACTTGAAATTCGCCAGCCTTGTTTTCTCTTTGCTTCTGTCCACATGCTTTTCTGAAATTTTGACCCAAATGAGAGTTCCAAGAAAATTAATTAAAATTGCGGTTCATCGTTACTTGAGAGTCACATAGAGTGGCAACAAAAACAATTGAGTCTCTTTAAGTTTCAGAACGCATTATTCTTGATAAATATTTAAATATTGACTTATCTGACGATCAGTTCGATTTCAAAAAGAAACGCCTCCAAAACATTTGACAAAATAAACTATTGGGCCTTTGAAAACGCATTCATGAACTCCTTCAACATGTCTATATGAAGCTC